CACCCAAACAAACCATCAGCCAACCGGCATATACATACATATAAGCGGCAAATCTAGCAGCAACACCAGACACAAGAAGCCTCCAGGCAAAAAGAAGCTCACTTACATACAATCACATCTACATAAATCAAGGAAAGTAGTAAGTAGGCAAATTTTTAATTTCCTTAAAAATTGAAATAATATAACTTTCATTTTCGTAAAAGTTGTATTATTTCTAATAAACTGCAAACGGACATAAATACGTATACACACATATATATATATATATATATATATATATATATATATATAATTAAATAAAAGGCGTTTCTCGCCAAAAAACCGTTCTATTAAAATTGCGGATATTTTCCTGCCGCCCAAAAATTTCACATCGGCATTTTGCCGCTATTAAAATTTTGGTAGAAAACTTCCGTTTTCCGGAAAGCGGTATATCTCCGCGTACCTCCAATTTTATATATATATAAGCATATGTACATATATACAAATTCGGGTGTATACCCCAAAATAAATTCCGTTGCAGTTTATATGCCTACTGTGTCCCACTGTTCAAGAACAAAGTATTAGCACATTAAAATCATATACTTTCCTCTGCTTACCAATTTTTACCGTTGGTCGCATAGACTGCTTTTACACAGTTCAAGTATTGAATTCAATTCTGCTCGCATGTGGAAGAGAGGGGGTGAGAAGAAAAGGGACGAGTACACATGCGTCTGTACCGTCAAGTCGTTTCAACTTTCTTGCTTTGCTTTTGGCATTTTCGTTGCTTCCCATTTAAAGAACCAAAAACTTGAATTCAACAGAAGTGAAACGTGTAAAAGCAAATAGAAAACACAAAAGAGAATGAGCAAGAATTGCTTTCAAGTACTTGAATCATGTAAATCGGGTGTTAGTTCGTTGAACAAATTGCCGAAAAACATAAGTGCATTTTTTTCCCATATACCATATGTACATACGGTAGCACATATAAGCATTTTTACAACGCTTTTATCAACTTGCAATGTTGTGCGTCCAGAAACTTTCAATGTTGTGGATCCAGAAACTTTCAATGTTGTGTGTCCGAAACCATAAAACCTTTGCTTTGAAAAGCTCTATAAAAACGCATAGTGCATAGGGCGACATCTGTAGTGAATAGGGCGAGGTAGATGACATCTAGATGTCGCCCTATGTACTACGTTTGCTACAGCGGAAATAGACGACACGCCATTTCTTTAAATAAAATTAATTGGTGCTCGTTTGTATGTACATACATATGTAAATGCATGTGTGTGCACCTTTCTATTAATATCGTTGAATTATTTTAATATCTATTGCAAAATTTTATTCAGACAGGACTAAAAAGTAGAAAATAAATAATATAAAAAAAGATTTTTAATATACAACGCTTTTATAAATGGACTAAAAAGTAGAAAATAATATTTCTCAGTCCCATAGAATTTGTTTTGATAACTTTTGATTTTGAAATTTTAGCAAAAGTCATTATAAACAATCTATGAAATTGAAAATGAAAAGCGTGGGGTGCATGTAATACACTTGAATTGTTATGCAAAGTAATATATGTATGCATGTATGTGGGTATATGAATAACGACCGCTTAAAATCGCTGTAGAAATTTTAGGTCTACGTTATGTAGTTTGACTATTGTCAATTAAATCGAATGCTTTGTATTGCATGCGCTCCACGTTTTTCATTTTCAATTTCATAGATTGTTTATAATGACTTTTGCTAAAATTTCAAAATCAAAAGTTATCAAAACAAATTCTATGGGACTGAGAAATATTATTTTCTACTTTTTAGTCCATTTATAAAAGCGTTGTATATTAAAAAGTTTTTTTATATTATTTATTACAAGTTGCATTTTCTGCAACTATTCGCTTAATAGTTAAGAGAGTCGCTGTTGTTCATCGGACAATGTAGTCCACATAAACCAAGCGGACTCTAGCTTATTTTCATATATTTCCACCTCGCTTTTCTCTGCGGCACTCACCAAGCTAAGAGAACGTAAGTCAAAGCCCGCTCTCCGACTTAAATACGTTCGGTACCAAGAACTCACCTCAGCGGCTCTTTACGTATTATCATATCCACATGTGTATTCCCGCACACATACATACATACGCACTGTAATCAAAACAAACTTTCTGTTTTTTCGTACTTCTTAACTCCCCTCCAGTACTGCTGGAGTCAATCGCTACTTTTGAACCGCTACTGAACCGACTCCTAGGTAAGTGGTTACTCTATTAACCCGTGGTAGTGCACATGGTAGTGCAGAGTCGAACCAGTCGGAAGCAGAATAGCGAAAAACTACGACAGAGGGCGCCCATAAATCACGCAAGTGACTACTTTAGTAACTCCCGGTAGTGCAGAGAGAGCCGATGGTGACTACCGCCTAGGACATTGCCTTGTAAAAGTAATCGATGAAACACACTGCAAGTAGTCGGTCGGTAATTGATGGAGTTTACTAGGTAGCTACCGATTCATCAGTCCTGTAGTCGCGCCCCCGTACTACAGGGTCACCACTGCTGCGACAAAGCATAGCTTAGCCATATACTCGGCTTCATACGTAAATATTTGTACATACGTAGATTTTTACATTGCACATATTCTGCACATTTGTACATACGTACGTGCTAGCAAAGAATATTATCACACGAATATTCTCTATAACGCGATAATAGTTGCGTTTTTTTTACTCATTTCCAGTAAAATCCAGTAAAAGTTTTTACGAATTTTAATGTTTTGGCGTTTTCGTACGCAAAAACTTGCAAAGTAGGGGAAATTGAGAGAACGAAAAATGACAGTTGAAGTTGCAAGTTTTGACTGGATTTTACTGGATAAATTTTTTCCTGTAAGAATTTGCCAGTACAAAAAACAGCTGATCGCATGTTTCTGGATGAAATTTAAACTAATAAGGAAGCTGTTTGTGGGTTTTTATTGTTGAATTTCACTAAATAAACCTATTTAAATACAAAATATATTGTTTTATTAGGAATTTGCTGCGAATAAACAACCAATTTATCAGCTGTTCATGAAACTTGCAAATTATTACTGGAAAAGCGTTCACGTACTTTATTGCAAATTTTTTCTATGAGAGCGAATTCTTAGAAATAAAGTTACTGGAGAGTTACTGGCAAGTTACTGGATAATTTGTAAAAAAACACAACTAATAAGTGAGTTCAAGATATCAGATACACGCAACCCAGTAGGGAAAGCTCCCGAATTGCATTGGTCTAGATAGTGATACATAACCAATACTTTTTCAGTATTTACATAATTATTTATATCACATTAAATATTTATACATACATAAATATTTACACCACGTATATAACAGTGAAAAGTGTTTGTGATTTTGTTTCTCTTACAAAACATTTTTTTTCAAATCAATATTCCGAGGATTTAATTGGGACGCTCCGTTTTCCACGTTAAAAAGTGCTGAACCAAAGATTAAAGCAAATACAACTTCACGTAATTTGCAAGAAACAAAAACACAAACACCGCCACAAGATCTTATAATTTTTTTCTTGATTTTCTGGGGCACAAAGTGCAATTTTTCCGTTTGACACAAATTTTCTTATTTTTTGCGAACGATATCTGGGTGGTACTCAGCTATTTTTAATTAAATCTTCTATTAATTTATATACGCCTGACCTTCCACGACATTCAAAATGCCACTTGAACACAGTCCACCGAAAGTTTCACAAGAAGCCACCGGCGGTAAGAGGGAACCCTCAACGTGCCCGAAATCTATCACTTTTGACCCATCTGCTCAAAAGTTTATAGCGGAAAGTGACAGTATCATGAGATTCTGTGCAAAATTCAGTGATGCACCAATTCAAGACCACACTGAATCCTATCTCATGATAAAAGACAATTCACTAGATGATTGTTGGGCACGGCTCCAGTCCGCCTACGATTTGGTATTTGAAAGGCCAAATGACAGCCTACCCGAAAACTTTAAGACTTTGGTAGAAGGCAAGTACTTCACTTGCCTTGAATTGTATGAGGTGACCAAAGCTAAAATTGCCGATCAACTGTCGTTGATTAGACATGTTCACAGCGGTGTACATCAACCACCCGAAGCTCTCCCGTGCTCAAAAATTGTATCACCTCAGATACAAAACCCAAGGAAAAGCCGGCTCCATCGTCAAGCAATACCCGCTCAGCGATGATAACTTCGAGCTGGCCTGGGAAGCTTTACGGTCACGATACGAAAACAAACGTATACTGGTTGACAACCAAATTAAAATTTTGATGATAGCGAGCAATTTCAAAGGCTGCAAACATCAATTAACAACTGTCTGTCAGTTCTTAATTCCCAAGACGTCCAGACAGACAGTTGGGATCCCATATTGGTGTACATATGTTCATCCAAATTGCCCGAAACCACACTGTCACTTTGGGAACAATCTCTCTCTTCTCGAAGAGTTTTACCCTCATGGTCACAAATAGACGATTTTCTTACTTCAAGATACGAAGTAGTCGAAAGACCTTATCGGCTTCATCCAAGCCAAAATAAACAAAAACCAGTCGCTCATCAAAATGCTGCGCAAAACAGGTCCTTTAACTGGACGCAAACCTTTGTGGCAGAACCTAAGAGGGAAACAACTTGCGCTTACTGCAAGTCCCCTCATCCCATTAGAGTCTGCCCACAATTTAAGCGAATTTCGGTACCAAACCGAGTACAATTCGCAAACCAAACCAAGCTGTGCAAAAACTGCCATGGAAATACCCATAGCACTAATGACTGTCCGAGCAAATGGTCATGTACACATTGCCAACAACGGCATCACTCCCTGCTGCACATGAATCCCAAACCACAATCTCGACACTCCAGGGCGCGAGCGAATGAAACCGCCGCACAACACACTACTGCCCAGTCGACACCTCCCGCTCGACAAGCGCAGTCAAGCTGCAATTCCAGCGAGCAACCGTGCTGTTCAAAACAAGCACAAATACAATCACTGCACACCGACAATGATAGCAAAATTCTCCTTCCAACTGTCATGGTCGCGGTTGAACACGAAGGGGAATTGTTTCAACTTAGAGCCTTGATTGGTCAAGGCTCACAGAGAACTTTCATTTCCTCGAAAGTGCAGAAACGGTTGAAACTACCATTCGAACATTCCAAGTTCGAAATTTCTGGCATGGGTGGACACGTAGTACAAAGCTCCTCAAAGCTTTGTCCACTCACATTGGTTGCACCCAAGACCCTGCAACGGATAAACACACAGGCTATCGTGTTACCTCAGCTCACGAGGCACATGCCTACATTCACCATTAGCCGTGAAAACTGGCAGCGATTCAAGATCCTTGAACTTGCTGACCCAAGCTGTCACATACCAGCTCAAACTGATATGGTAATCGGCAGCGATATACTTCCACAGATCTTGCTGGAACGTATACAAAAGATTTGCGACACTATACTTGCGCAAAGAACAATATTTGGCTGGATTCTCAGTGGTCCAATAACCAAAAATGTGGTGGCATTCTCGACACAAGTAGAAGAGTGCTCGAATGCAACTCTCAGCTCTCAACTTCTAAAGTTTTGGGAAGAGGAGGAGATTCCACAACCTCCACAAATTTCACCTGAAGATCAGGCATGTGAGCATATATATGCAACAACAACGATTCGTGCCCCAAACGGTCGATACATTGTGCGACTTCCATTCAAGGAAGAATTTCCAAAAAAAACTGTCTCTAGGCCACTCTCGGTATGCTGCACTCCAGCAGTTTTTCTGCAAGGAGCGATCGCTCCAGAAAAAAAGGAGACTTAGGCACAATGTACAACAATGTGTTGCAAGAATATCTCGACCTCGGTCACATGGAGCACACGAAGCCATGCGTGATAATAGTTAATGGCAAATACTTCTCGTTCTACTTGCCACATCATGCGGTCGGCAAACCAGATAAGGTGACCACCAAAGTTCGCGTGGTATTCAACGCCTCAAAAACATCTGGTTCAGAAAAATCCCTGAATGACGTGTTGCACACTGGTCCCACACTCCAGCCAGATCTCATGCTGCTCATTCTACAGTGGCGAATGCACAGATTCGTGTTCAATGGCGACATTGAAAAAATGTATCGTCAAATACTCATCCAAGAGGACGATAAAGATTTTCAGCGAATCTTGTTTCGCACGTCGGCTGACTCTCCTGTCACCGATTATAATCTTAAAACCTTAACTTTTGGCGTTAATTGTGCACCATATCTCGCTATCCGTACCCTGCATCAATTAGCAGATGATACGATAGCGACATTTCCCTTGGTTGCCACAATACTTAAAACCGAAACGTATGTGGATGACATCCCATCCGGAAGTCATGATATTGACAACGCCACTGAATAACTTCACAAGGGATCAAAGCGCTTAAGTCAGCTGGTTTCTTACTCAAGAAACTAACGTCCAATCATCCGGCCATTTTAGAAAAATTTCCAAAGGAGGATCATCTCGACTCCAACTTTTTGAAATTTGAGAGTGCTTCCACAACCAAAACTCTTGGTATACAATGGAACTCACTCACAGATAAATTTTCATACACCATTCTGCCTGCATCGACATCGAATGCCGTCACAAAGAGACAAATTTTATCTTCTGTCTCAAAACTTTTTGACCCGGCAGGATGGCTGTCGCCAGTGATGATTCAAACAAAGATTCTGCTTCAAGAACTTTGGCTGGATGGCGTTGATTGGGACGAATGTGCCAAACCCATAGCTTTAGCAAAATGGCAGCAGTTCGCAGAAAATTTGCCATATGCCACATCGAAATCCCTCGATGGGTTAACTTCACTCCGGGGCAAGACACCCAAATCCACGGGTTTTGCGATGCCTAGGAAAAAGCATAGTGCGCTGCGATTTACATCCGCGTAAATGCCAGCAACCAAAGAAATTCCACTCTATTGGTTGCAAAAAGCAAAGTCGCACCATTGAAGACGGCAAGCTTGCCACGCCTGGAGCTGTGTGGTGCAGTCTTACTCACAAAACTGGTCGCAACTATTCGAAAACAGCTCAAATTGGAATCGTGCAACACATTCTTATGGTCAGATTCAGAGATTGTGCTAGCTTGGCTTGAAAAGCCACCATGTGTATGGAAGATGTATATATCGTACCTCCCAAATCCGGGAATATCTTCCAACCGCTACATGGCGCCATGTTGCCAGCCAAGACAATCCAGCCGACCTCGGCACCCGTGGTTGCAAACCGCAGAACTTGGCAAATTCCCCACTCTGGTGGCACGGACCAAAATGGCTCTCTTGCCACATGGATGCATGGCCAAGGTCAAAGGCATGCAGTGCATCTCCACCAGAAAAGCGCAAGGTGGAGGTATATCACGCGCTCGAAGAAGAGGTCGATTTTCTTGATCGCTTTTCTTTTTCTCTCGATCACTCCGCGTGACTGCGTACATGTTCTGCTTCGTGAGCAATGACCGCAACCAATCAAAGGGGTTAGCTACAATCACCTATCCACATCTGACACATAACGAATTTCAATATGCAAAAATTCGTCTTATCAACGCAGCGCAACCACGCCATTTTCCGAGCGAGAAAAGCGCTTTGCAAAATAAAAAGCCACTTAACAAAAAAGTCCTCTTCTTGTTCTCAATCCTTCATTGGAGAAAGACGGACTTCTACGGGTTAATGGCCGATTAGCGCATTCCACATTGAGCTATAATGACAGGCACCCAATAATTCTCCCTACCGAATCGAGGTTCTGCAAGCTATATTTGGAGTTTTTACACTCGCTGCTTCTTCACGCAGAAACACGATTAATGCTTCAAATGGTAAGGCAAGAGTACTACGTACCAAAGCTTAAACCTCTAATTAAAAAATGCATTTTCCGTTGCAAAGTGTGCACGCTTTACAAGCAACAAACACGCACCCAAATAATGGCCGATCTACGCCCTGAGCGCTGCAGTTTCTCACTCCCATTTTCCACAACGGGAGTAGATTTTGCTGGGCCTTTCCAAATTAAAGCATCGGTGCTAAGATCTACAACCCTTATCAAGGGATACGTTGCAGTTTCTGTCTGTTTTTCCACAAAGGCTGTGCATATCGAGCTATGCTCGGATCTTACAACCGAGGCTTTTCGAGCAGCATTCGCCCGTTTTGTTGGCAGACGAGGCTTCCCCTCAAAAATGAGAGCGACAATGGAAAAACGTTCACTGGCGCCCAGCGCGTCACAGAACGCGACTTCGTTAAATTCCTTAACGAATGTTCCGCAGACATTTTTAAAAAATATGCCCCTCAAGGCATCAACTAGCAATATATACCACCCAGAGCCCCCACATGGGCGGCTTGTGGGAATCTGCAGTGAAAAGCTTTAAAATCCATCTAAAGAAAACCGCTGCAACCCACAAGTTTACCTTTGAAGAATTCACGACGCTTCTGGTGCGAATTGAAGCAGCCCTCAATTCGAGGCCTCTGTCCGCACTTTCCCAAGACCCAGCTGATATGACAGCACTTACTCCGGGTAACTTCATTCGAGATGCACCGCTATTGGCCATTCCCGAGCCTGATGCGGAAGACCTCTCCCTACTAACCGGTGGAAGGCAGTCAAAGCACTTCACCACCCATTTAGCCGCCGCTGGAAAGAAGATTACCTCAAAGATCTTCAGAAGGAATACAAGTGGAAAACCCCACAACGCGATCCTCAGCCAGGCGACCTCGTCGCGATCAAAGAAGATTCGCTACCCCTACCGAGTGGCGATTGGGACGAATCGAAAACGTTCGCCACGGCCCTGATAACCACATACGTGTCGTAGAAATCCGTACACAAAATGGAGTTATCACGCGGCCACTTGCCAAATAAATAATTCTATACATATTTTCCTTCTGTATATTAAAGGTCTTATTTTCTCGTTTAAATATTGTACCCAAGTACTTCTCGTTTCTCTGCCTTTGCTTCTACTTCCAGATCGAAGACATCATGGCATCAAAGAAGGCATGCCCCCTGGCTCCAATGGCGGAAACGGACAACTGCCTACAATGCCGGCTCTGCCACCGGTATCACGCCTTGCGGACGTGCTCGGCCTTCAAGGCGATGAAGCCGCCACAACGGTTGGGAGTAGCCCGCGCACAGGGTTACTGCATCAACAGCCTTGCCCTCACCCACACTGCCGGGGAGTGCGACTCACCTGGCAGCTGCAAGACCTGTGGGCTAGCGCACCACATGCTACTGCATGTGGCAGAGAACAACAACCATGCGCGCACGGGACCAAGGGAACAGGGGCCCAAGAAGCGAGAACCGGCCACAAAGGCCCCAAGAAGCGTCAAGCGGCGCGCAGAAGAACCCGCCCAACCAGGTGCCGCAACCGCCGCGCAAGAAGACGGCGCAACGGACGATCGCGCGCACTCCCCAAGGCCTACAAACGGCCAATTACCAGGGCCGCACCACCCACCGCGTCCTGGGCAACACAACCAGCGACCTGAAAGAGCTGCAGGAGACACTCAGCAACGAATTCCTGCAGGGCGGGGATAATGTTTAAGCCGCCGCTTAAACATAATTTCAGCGGCCGTGCGCGTATCCTTTGGCCGTAAGTGTGTGGAGTCGAAGCGACTCCGAAAATGATTCCGGAGCGCGCACGGCCGCCTACTATCATCGTGCCAAATCAGCGACACGTTAGTTCAGCAATAAACGTCGTACACCGCGCACGCGCCCTAGCATTTGATGGTTTACAATAATACGAGAGTTAAATCTAAATTTTTATTAAACACGATAAACTTTAATTGTTGTGCACAAATAAAACCCAAAAAATATTTCTAACTATTAACTGAAAAACAAAGTCGTATCCTTTAACGGAAACTAAGTGTGTGTGTAAAGAGGTGAGTGCTAAGGGACCAGCGACCGAAAGTATTCACAGGGCTTTGTTGTATTAAAAAATATTGTAGGCCAAATTGAATCCGGTAATTCAAATAATCCGATTGAAAAATATACAGTGACTGAAATTTATGCCTTTAAGTTCGTGTCTTTTTCGTGTTTAAGAATACATATATTCCGCGATAACAGGCAATCATTTCTTTCAGAAAATTTATACGAATACTTTGCTATTTATTGCAACAAAAATATTTAAGTTAAATTTGCATTTTCATTTCTATACATATGCATCAGTGTTTTTGTACATTTTTGAATAAAATTCAATAGATATTTATGCAAGAAAAATTGAGCTTATTATTTTTTTAATTCATATTTTAAGGAAGTTTTTGATATTATTCGTGCATATTTCTTATTTTATCGTGCATATTATAAGCGCTTAAAATCATGTTTTTACGCCGTATTTTTCATTGCCCTTATGCCCAATCTATATGTACGGTGACCATATTAACCAACGTAAAATAAAGGACATTTTTTTTTTAATTATTTGGGAATACGTACAACTTGTATGATAAAAGTACTTTACCCATATCGTAATTTAAATCAAATATTTACCAGTTAATTAACCGATTCCGAATGAAGCCAAATCCTTTTCAAGGACTTCGCCGTCCTTTGCTCCCAAAATGCGTTTACCATAATTCATACTGCACGCCGAAGCCAGCAGTGGTTCAAAATTATAATTTAATGTTCGTAATTCACCGTAGTCTTAATTTGTCAACCAACTTTTACTAAAAACCAAACAAAAAAAAATTATTTTGGTGAAAATTTTTTTTTCCATATCCATTTTTTTTTTAATTTTTCCGTTTTGGGGAACCATACAATTGTTTCTAACTAGCCTTTGTAATGTAACATTTTGTTATCTGGAGCAGGAGAATACATTTTCTTCAAAATTGCCACTTTTTCTGCA